CCACATTTGCTTATGCACCCAGGGGCAGTTCTACCTGGTCCCATGGGGTCACCACAAGTCACCATCAACTAGATGGCAGTGAGTGAGGTAGACTTGGAGGATCCTTGGTTGCTTCAGGGTTCAAATCCACCAGCCGTTCCACAGGAGAAAGAGGAGGCTTTCTACTCCCATAAAGAGTTACAGTCTCAGAAACTCACAGGGACAGTTCTACCCTATCCTATGCCAACTGTGGGTTGGCATAGACTCAATGGCAGTGAGTTAGCATGCGTGAGGTAGACTTGAACCACCAACCTTTTTGGTTAGCAACTGAGTGCACTACCAGGTCTGCCTAAGAATGGGGCTCCAGACAGGTAATACATTTGCCAGATCTGTGCTAAACCTTTCGCGGAGGACAGCACTCAAGTCTCAAATGTTTAAATAAATATGACTGCCTTGCACTCAAGGAGCCCTGGTGGCATAGTGGTTACCCACTGGGCTGTGATCTGCAAGGTCCACAGTTTGAAACCACCAGCCAGCTCTTTGGGAGAAAGATGGGGCTTTCTACTGCTGTAAGCAGTTACAGTTTTGGAAGCTCACAGGGACAGTTTATCTGATGCGAGAGTCACTATGAGTCGGCATCTACTTGACGACAGTGAGTTGAGTTCAGTTGCCCTGAACTTCAGGGAAAAAATGAACAGACAGTTCACCCAGCTGGTTTGGGTTTTCCCTTGTGAAAGAAAATACTGCAACATCAACTCATTCGCAGGCTAATTATAGTAAACACAGCAGGAAACGTTTCTGTCTCTCCCGCAGGGTCTGGCACTCATCAATGGGACACAGATGATCACCTCCCTGGGCTGTGAAGCTGTGCAGAGAGCTAGTGCTATTGCCCGGCAGGCGGACATCGTGGCAGCCCTGACCTTGGAAGTGCTCAAAGGCACCACCAAAGCCTTCGACACTGGTCAGCCAGGGTCTTCTCTTCCATTGCTATTCATCCAACCAGAAGCCGGAAGGGTGGGATGGTTAAAGGATGGCCGGGGAAGAGGAGGAGAAATCCAAGTGCCTGTGGCATGCTCCACCTGAAGACAGTTTCTCCTAAGCTTTGCCACTCGGGGTTCTTGAAACAAACATATTTTCAAACAGAAATTGACCCCTAGCGTTAAATCACCCATCCCGGATCATCCAAGTTCAGCGCACCACGGCTATGTGTTGCCTGAGGCATCTGTCAGAGGGATTTTAAAATTAGGATAGGATCCGATTGGTCCCCACTTGAGAATTGGGATAGAAGAACTATAGGGGAGTATCCTGTGGAGTGCGTGGTGAGCTGGGAAGAGTCCTTAATTTTGTAAGAACAATGACTTAAATTGGGTCCCCAGGGGAGAAGGGTTTTTTTAAAAGCGGGTGGGAAAATTCCATTCTCTTGGAATTCCATTTCCCACGAACTGTTTGAACCCTCTGGCAGAGTTCTCTCTGGTGATCCAATGAAACCACTTGAGGCCAGGCACATTGTCTTGAGTTGTGTTTCCAATGGGTTCAGCACATAGCTTGTCCTCGTATGTTTAAAGTGGGAAGCGTCAAGTCAGTAAGGAGAGGTTTGCTTTGGGAGTGAAGCTTCTCCGTGTGAGTGATGGGCCCTTTTGCCGACCACAGCAGAAGCTTCGGATCATCTTAAGTCATCTCCCGTAGTTCTTTTCTGATATAACAAAATGCTCACCTTCTCTAAAATATCAATTTAAAATAAGGAACATAAGAGAGAGGGGCAAAAATAGCTCACCTTTCCCTCCTTCGTCTATTATAGACATCCATGCTGTCCGCCCTCATCGCGGGCAAATCGAAGTGGCTTTTCGCTTTCGGTCACTCTTGGACTCTGATCATCACCCATCCGAAATAGCAGGTCTGGACGTATGCATGTGAGGGAGGAGACTTGGTGTCCTGTTTAGTGAACGACTCAGTGATGTGTCCCTGTCTCATCTCATCCATAGAAAGTCACCGGTTTTGTGATCGTGTCCAAGATGCATACACCCTGCGCTGCTGTCCACAGGTAAAAAAAACCAAAAACCAGCCAGCTTTCTTCCCACGCCACCCCTCCCACCCATGCCCAACTCAGGGAGGAAAATCAACGCAGAGGACAGCCCTAGGGAATCAGGTAGCAGGCCAAGTGAAATCCAAATTTCGTGACTGCTTCCCTGGAGCGCTGATGAGTATAATCTAGGAGGTTTTTCTTCTTTATGGCTAGCTGTCGACTTCCCCTGGGATGCTTTGTTCAGCTCCCACAGCTGCTGTGTTATGTACTTTAAAATCTCCGTGATACTGCCATGGGAACCGGCTCATGGAGTTTTACTGGGGTGCCCTGTGAAAGGCAGGATTTGAATCAGCCAGTCAGGCGTGGTTCCAGGAAAGCCTCCTTGTATTATTTCCAAATTCAAGTGCACCTCCCCGGTGGTGCCTCATCTGCATTTGGTAGTCAGCTAGGCTTCCATGATACATGACTATACAAGGGCTTAAGTCAAATTACAAGTGCAGATCAACTGGGGCATCCAGTATTGACAGATGTCACAATTCAGTATCTCAGAGCCATGCGATCTGACACTAGCAATTAGTTGAATGAGGAGTGAATAAGGATTTAAAAAGAGGATGAGAGCTGGTGCTCACGCCCACTCCCAGGCTGCCTAGAGTGTAACAATACTGAGGCATGAAAGCAAGACATTCAGCATCCTCAGTTTCTTTTATCTTGCATTCTCTATTCTAGGTAGCTTATTCAGAAAATAGATGGAAAACCTCTATGTAGATGAATTTCCAAAAGATCAGCATTCCGTTCTGTGCCGCAGCTGTGCTCAGTCCCATGGGCCCTAACTGACTCCATGATCATGGGTAGCATTTTGGGGTGTGTTTTTTTAAATAGTACGTCTTTATATATGAATACAGGCACCATTTCAAGTATCATCCTGTGTTAACTCTGAGACGCTGTGATTGCTAGCTGCTGTCCAGTTGACCCCACTCGTGGGCACAATGACACAAAGCGCTGCCCAGTCCCCTCTGTGGTTGGTTGGGGAGGTAATGTTCTGCTGAGATCCACAGAGTATTCACCAGCTGATTTTCAGAAGGACTGAACTCTGATTTTCAGAAGGAGTTCACCAGGTCTGTTTTTGGGGGGTCTTTCTTGGTCTAGAAGTGCCCTAGCAACATACAAGCCTCCACTAGGCTAACAGGTGGTGGAAGTACATGAGGTGTATTAGAATTTAAACTCAGATTTTCCTCCTGGGAGGTTGGAATTCGCCCACAGGACCACCAGTGCTTCAAGTGTGAATGAGATAGGTACCCTGACTCCCATTTTGCAGGCGAGAAAGGAGGCACCAAAGTAACTTACTAGACCTTGACTTCCTTTACTTCCGAGGAAATCTGGAAGATGGCCACTGCTTTAGAGCAAGCCGCTTCCATCAGAGAGGCTGCCTTATTCATGAATTCCTTCCAGCATAGCACCCTGTATACTTTTTAAACTTAACCTCCTTGGATATAGCTTTCATCTGAGTGATTTCTGTGTGTCCTGCCTAAGAGTTCATTTAAATTGTCTTATTTACTTATCGTAAGTCAGAAAGTAGCTACTTTCATCTATTTTCTAAGTCCTTTTCTGTTCCCACTATAAATGTAAGTAATTGACCCAGACCCTGCTAATAACCAGGAATTAAGTGTTCCTATGTCTAAAAGCTGTCATTCTTTCCCTACACGATGCTGTATTCTACAGACTGATCTAATGGGGAATCATATTATAAAGAATTGATTCTAATCCATCTCTCTCAACCTCCAGAGTATTGATAACAAAATTATTTCCAAATTCCAAATAAAGAAGCTATGATTTTAATAGTTATAAAGACAAACCACTTCCTGCCGAAAGACCAAAGATATTACTTTCTACAAATATTGCTACTTAAGAGAATACACTGTAGAGACTCGATTGGCCATATATCTGATTTTGATTATATTTTAGGTCCACGGTGTGGTGAATGATACAATAGCATTCGTGAAGAACATCATTGCCACAGAAATTAACAGTGCAACGGATAATCCTGTATCCTTTGATTGTTTACTGAATTGCAATTGCATGTGGACCCAGCTTTGTAACAGGGTTTCATTTAAAAAGCACTCTTTTGTAAATTGGTCCTCTTATAAGTCTAACACCACTTTGATTATTTTAGTTTTTATTTTCATTGAATTTTATTATCAGTATTTGTACAAATCTGATCTTTTGTTTATCTTTGTAGGTGAGCATGAGAATGATAGAATTAACACGTTATGGACTACAACATTGTATGCGCTACATGCCACCCATGATAAGATGTGCAAGATTTCCAATGATATGTGTGGGTCATTGTCATTCACATATGCAGTAAATGGGGGACTATTTGTGTAGAATTCCACCTTCAAGTGTAATTTTACACTTGCTCTTAGCCAAAAGGCCAAGGAGCAATCTCTGTGGTAATTGAACTATTACTTTTGTTTGGGGATTATGTTGTATAGATCTCAGTTCAGTTATTCCAATTCATGAGGCTCAGCGGTGACGTGACTTCTTCAGGTCATAGCTGGTAAATGGCAGAAGCAGCCCAGTGAACCGAGGCTTTTGGGTTCTGAGTTTAACATACTATGCTTTCAAAAATGACGCAGTGACACTCTCACCCCCACTTTACCAACACCCGTGAGATTGGGTAAGCTGATGTTTATGCAAGCCTCCCAGTTCGAGTGATGTCATGACTCCATGAGCAAAGGCAATCTTTTAACACTTACCAAAGCAAGAATCAGACAGTAACGGCCTCCCCCGTGTCTTTATTTCTGATAGGCCCTTTGAAAACTCCACACTACCATATATATAATATAAGAGACTAGTAAGAGCACTTTCATTTTTCAGAGGTGGAGCTCCACTCTCCTTAGTGCTGTGGCTGAACGTAGGGCCATCTTGTCTTGGCTTATGATGTTGCTTGCTGGTCCAGTTGTGAGGGGTTTGTTTGGTTTTGTCTGCATTCTGTTCTTGTTGAAGGGCCATCCATATTGAAGTCTATAGTCTTTGATCGTCCGTAGCAAATCCTTCAAGTTCTCTTTGCATTCAGAAAGCAAGGTCATGTCATTTGAATATCAGTTTAATAAGCCTTCCTCCAGTCCTGATACAGAGTTTTTCAGCTAGCCCATCTTCTTGGATTATTTGCTCATCATGCGGGATGAATAAGATGAAAGTTTAGAAGCTGGACACACACCTTTCCTGATTTTAAACTACGTAGCCTCCTCTTGTTCTGTTCAAACAACTGCCTCTTGATCTATGTTCAGGTTTCATGTGATTGTAACTAAGTATTGTGGTTTCCCTTTGTTCGCGATGTTATCTGTAATTTGTAATGACCCATGGAGTCAAATGTCTTTGCATAGTCAATAAAACACAAGTAAACATCTTTGTGGTGTTACCTGCTTTCAGCCAAGATCCATCTGATATCCAGCATGAAATTCTTTGTTCCACATTCTCTGCTGATCTCAACTGGAATTTCTGGTAGTTCTCTGTTGATATGTTGCTGAAATGGCTTTGAATTATCGTTAGCAAAAATTTACTTAAGTGTGGTATTCATATCACTCAATACTTACTGCATTCTGTTGGACCACTTTTCTTTGAGATGGGCACAAATACAGATAGCGTCTAACTAATATCCAGGTAGCTGTCTTCCAAATTTCTTGGCATAGATGAGTGAAGACTTCCAGGACTTCACTTGGGTGTTGAACTATCGCCGTTGGGATTCTGTCAGTTCCCAGAGCCGTGTGTTTTGCCAGTGCCTTCAGTACAGCTTGTGCACTGTCCTTCAGCATCAGGAGTTCTCGACCATGAGCTCCCCCGTGAAGTGATTGCTCACTGGCCAATTCTTGTTAGTGTAGTCACTCTGTTTATTCCTTCCATCTTCTTCTGTTGCTTCCGATGTCATTCAATATTTTGCCCAGGGAATCCTTCAATATCACAACCTGAAGCTTGGCTTTTTCCTTCAGTTCTTTGAGCTTTGAGAAATGCTCCTCATATGCCTTGTGGTGCTCTAACTCTAGTCTGCACATTTCACTGTAATATTTTACCTTCTCAAGCTGTCCCTCAAAATCTTTTACTCCATCATTTTTCACATTTGCTTTACCTACTGTACACTCAAGGGTAAATTTCAGAGTCTCTTCTGACATCCATCTTGATCTCTTTTTTTTTGAGCTCTAAATTAAGGTGATATTTAAGCAAGTTCATAGTTTAGCTCTCATGGACTTGTTTCAATTTTTTTCAGCTTCAAATTGAACTTAGATATGAACAAATAATAGCTTATTCCACAGCCGGCCACTGGTCTTTTTTTAATTTAATTTAAACATTTTATTAGGGGCTTGTACAACTCTTTTTAAAAAAATCATTTTATTAGGGGCTCATACAACTCTTATCACAATCCATACACACATCAATTGTGTAAAGCGCATTTGTACATTCATTGCCCTCATCATTCTCAAAACATTTCCTCTCCACTTAAGCCCCCAGCATTAGGTCCTCATTTTTCCCCTCCCTCTCCGCTCCCCCGTCCCTCATGAGCCCTTGATAATTTATAAAGTGTTATTTTGTCATATCTTGCCCTGTCCGACATCTCCCTTCACCCACTTTTCGGTTGTCTGTCCCCCAGGGAAGAGGTCACATATAGTTCCTTGTAATCGGTTCCCTCTTTCCTACCCACTCTCCCTCTACACTCCCAGTGTCGCCACTCACACTACTTGTCCTGTAGGACTCATCCGCCCTGGATTCCCTGTATTTCCAGTTCCTATCTGCACCAGTGTACATCCTCTGGTCTAGCCAGATTTGCAAGGCAGAATTCCTGTCATGATAGTGGAGGCGGGGAGGAAACATTTAGGAACTAGAGGAAAGTTGTATTTTTCATCGTTGCTACATCGCACCCTGACTGGCTCGTCTCCTCCCCGAGACCCCTCTGCAAGGGGATCTCCAGTGGCCTACTCATGGGCTTTGGGTCTCTACTCTGCACTTCGTAGTTCTCAACCTGTGAGTTGCAATCCCTTTGGGAGTCGAATGACCCTTTCACAGGGTCGCCCGATTCATGACAGTAGCAAAAGTCCAGTTATGAAGTGGCAACGAAAATAATGTTATGGTTGGGGGTCACCACCACGTGAGGAGCTGTATGAAAGGGTCGCGGCATTAGGAAGGTGGAGAACCATTCTAATGGTTCAACTGGTATTGAGTTTCTTCATTATCTCTTTCCATGTATGAGGTTGATTAGATCCTTGATTTGATTGTATGCCCTCCAGCTTGATCCAGTGGTGTAATTGGCATTTGTGTTGTTGAAAAGAAGACATTTTCAAAGAAGAAGTCATTCTTGAAAAATTCTATCATGTGATCTCAGGCATGTCTTCTATCACCATACTTTTCTACTACATATCCTATTTACAACCTTGGCATTCCAACCACCACTAATTATCATTGCATTTTGATTGTAGGATTCATCAACCTTGGACTGCAAAAGCTGGTTTAAAAAATTCTTCAATTTCTTCATCTTCGGTGTATAAATTTGAATAATAATTATACTAAGTGATCTTCTTTGCAGGTATATGATTATTCTCCTTTAACTGACAGTGTACTGCAAGATAAGTCTTGAAATGTTCTTGTGGACAGCAAATGTGGCCTCCTTCCTCATTAGTTTGTCGTGTTTGGCTTAGCAGTCCATATGATTGTCCAGTGTCTAGCTAATGGGTAGTTGTTATTTTTTAGTTCAGCAGCAAAAACTAGCTCTTTGGAACCAGGGATGATAATTGGCCACTGCCTTTGGTTGGGTGCCTGCTGGTTTAAGTAAACTGTTGGTAGAATGGAGTTATGCCTGAAGGCGACAATCGTGATCAAAGTTTCCTCCTACTTAAAATAGGTGACAGGGCCCTGTTAGTCATCATCTGCTGTAGACGTTGGCCCGGGGCTTGAATATTTTCTCACAAGTGGTTGTTTCAGACATAATTCATCCCTGGAGTCTTCCAGTCGATACTTTCTTCCATGTAGCATGAGCTCATAGCACCCATTGGGAAAACAGAATTCTCATTTAACCCAGTGTCCTGGTCTCCTTCTTAGCTTCAGGCTATACACATTTTGAGAGCAAGTACTAAGCACCGAATCCAGAAAGGGATGGTGTTTGCGAATCTAAGCTCACAAGGGAACATCTTCTCAAGCTGTAGGTTTCTTTAGCTTCCTGCGTGTTTAAGGTTCAGATTCTTTTGTACGCACTTAGGTCAACACCTACTCATGGGAAGCCTTTTCTCTTTGCTCCACCCACATTGGTACCAGGGCTGCCACTCCAAGGTGAAAACTGTGTCGCTTAGGAAGGGAGTTAAGCGTGAAGTGGTCTGAAATGAAAATGTTGCCTTCAAACCTTAACCTGTTCGGAAAGATGGTCTTCGCTAGCAGAGGAGAGACCATTTCCGGAGGAAACTTCCATGGTGAATACCCAGCTAAAGTAAGCTTTTTAGAATTGCTTCTGCCCGTGGAAGTGCCCCCCCAAGATTGGCTAACTGAACTGAGACTCTTACAGGCCCTGGACTACCTGGCCATCGGTGTGCATGAACTTGCAGCAATTAGTGAGAGAAGAATCGAAAGACTCTGTAACCCATCCCTCAGCGAGCTGCCTGCCTTCCTGGTAGCTGAAGGGGGTCTGAACTCTGGGTTCATGATCGCCCACTGCACGGCCGCAGCCCTCGGTAAGGACCCTGCCCTTCCCACAACACAAGCCAGCCTGCCTTCCGACAGGCGTTCACTACCGTCTTAGTTACAAGTGATGCTGTTTGTCTTTGACCAAGATCTCATTTCTTGAGCTTTTTGACTGCCTCCATTTTTGTCTTGGCTCTCTCAAGACAAATACATCAGCCACGTTCTTTCTTTCTTTTCAGGAAAAAAAGCAAATATCTGATAATGTTATACTGAAACAATTAATTAATTAAACAGAAAGAGTTGCCATCGAGCTAAATGGACTCATGGAGACCTCATCTGCATCGAAGGAGAACTGTGCTCTGTTTTTAATGGCTGAGTTTTCGGAAGTAGATGGCCATGGGGCTGTGCCCTGTCCTGGTGTGTCACTGATCTGCCCCTTACAATCTCGAGTCAGGAATCCGCTGTCTTGAAATTCCATTTTCTTTGAGGTTGCCCAGCATGTTTGTCTGTTGTAATACAGTCTTGGGGGTTTTGTGGTGGTTGGTTGCTGTTGATTCCAACTTATTGCAACTAGTCTATTCCAGTTATAGTGACCCATAGGACAGGGTCAAACTACCTCTCTGGGTTTCCAGAACGGTGACTCTTCACAGGAGTCGATCACCTAGAGCAAAGAATACCAGGGCCCATATGAGTGAGCATGAACTCTGAGACAACTAACAATAAGTACAACGATCAGAAAGCGTTGGGCGGCCCCACAGGATTTTCTAGGCTGAGATCTTTCCAGGAGCAAAGCACAACAGAGCAGCTGGTAGGTTTGAACCATTGACCTTACAGTTAGCAGTCAAGCAATTAACCATTGTATCGCCAGGGCTCCTTTGTGATTATTAGTGGTTGGCATATCTATGGAATATATATGGTCAAAAAGTCCCGGTTGGCTCAAGTTTCACCATTAACTATTAGCATCTTTGTCTCTTGCCTTCACATCTTCTTCAAACTGAGATTAGGTGGGGGGGGAGGGGGGGCTTCAAAGATGAAGTTTCTATGTGATGCCAATTTATTTCCGTAGAGAAATGGCCGATTCATAACTTTATTCCCTTATCATTATATATCACTGTAGAAGTCCCTGGGTGGTGCTCGGCAGCTAGCCAAAAGGTTGGAAGTTCGAGTCTACCCCGGTATTTTGGCTCCTGATTTATGTCTTCACTTGGGTCAACCAAGGAGGATCTCATTTTGATCAAATCAGTGTTTCCCCAAATGGAGAAGCCCTTGAGGGCTCAGTCTTTAAGCTCTTGGCAACCAACTGAAAGGCTGGGAATTCCAACCCACCCAAATCTGTTTCTGTAAAGACTTTTGCAGTCTTGAGCACCATATGGGACAGTTCTCCTCTGTTCTCTTTGGTCACAATGCGTCAGATTCTACTATGGAACCTGGAGTTTGAATCCCAAAAAAGCTTTGCCAGGAAGACACCCCAAATACAGTTAAACTGGGATGATCTACATGTCAATTACATTGGAATTTAAAGGTGAATTATTTGTGACATACGCTAAATACATACTGAGTGGTTATCGGGCGTCCTGGATTGTATTTGGCAGCCCCGTTCCTTGCACCCAGGATAGCACGATGCTAAGAACAAGGTCCCTGGTCTGAATCCCCAGCAAATCTCTTCATCTTGCTGATGATCCCAGTTCATTTCTCTGTGCACCGGAGGTGAGTGGGGCTGGCATAAGGATTAAATGAGGCGTGTCTGGGATGCCTTGGAATTGTGCTGGCACAAAGTAAGCACGAAATCAACATTAGTTGTTCTTAATAAGAATGCCCATAACTCCTTCCTCCCCTGGGTCTCACTAAAAGTCTACAGAGATCACCAAGGAAGAGCAGCTACATCAGTCGTTTTCTCGGACCCAGCCCAGTGTAACCTGTGAGAGCCGGAGCTCAACGGAACTGCCCTGTTTTCTGAGATCTCTCAAATTTCCCACCTTTGATAGGGTGCAGTCATCACCAACTCTCACTCTCTTTTTAGTGGAAACTATTTGTTTTCCTTCTCTGACCCATCTCTGCCTTACACAGATTTCATAGGCTTTACTGTATCTTCCATCTGAGCATGTCCTTGCATGTAAAAATACCCTTTTAAAGGGTCGGGGAGAAACACAAGGCTATCTACTCCTGTGAAGAGTCGCCGTTTGGGAAACTGAGAGAGGTAGTTCTACCCTGTCCTACGGGTCACTGTAACTGGAATAGGCTTGACGGCAGCGAGGCTCTTTTTGGTCTGCTTTGCTTTCAAGGGCAGAGGCTTGTCACATCAGTGTGGTGAGGGGGAGAGGGAGGGCACTGATATCTAGAGAGAGGAAGGGCACTGATTTCTCTGAGTACCAGGAGGCCTCATCAGAATGTGTTTTGCTTCCCAAGTTGCCTATTGATGCTGGTCTGCTTGCTTTCATTATAAAGAAGCTATGGGTTGGTTTTTTTCAGGGGGGTGGGTTGCCATTTGTCTTCGTCTTTCTCAACATGTCTCAGCACAGCCTGCTTCCCACCAAGCCTCAGTTTAGAGTCCCAGGAAGTGGACCTCTCAGGACCTTAAATCCAGAGAGGCCGGAATGAACCGGATGAGTGGGTCACTCCAGGTCATCTCAGAGTACAAACTCCGGGAGCGTGGCACCTGCTGACACTTCGCTCAGAGCCATCCTTGAAGTTAAGGCCAGAGGAGAAAAGATGCTAGGGATCTGACTTCGCCGGCCTCAGAAGTTGGGAGAAGGAAAGCTGTCAACTAGGCTGTTGCAACCAGTGCGGTCTTTGGACCAACACCGCAGGCATCCCTTGGGAGTTGAAATGCTGAATGTCAGGTTCCACCTGGAAAACCACTCTCTGCATGCTAACAAGATCATCCACATGTGAAATAAATTTTGGGAGGCCCTGGGCGTGGCAGTGCCTGGAATTACTCCCTCCCAGAGATATCTTGGCCCACATCAAGCCCTGGCTTAAGCAGAGGCACATTCCTGCTTTGTCCTTGCATGGCCTAAAAGCTTAAAGCCTCTTGACCAAGATCTGTGAGCGTAGCTTCAGTGCTCAAATGCCACTCCATGAATTTTAATTCCATCTCCTCTGGTGACACCACCAGCCAAATTGCCACCCCCCCCCGCCCCCAAAGCCCCCCCACCCCAAAAACCAAACTTAGTGCCATTGGGTTGATGCTGTCTCCATAAGTTCCTGAGACTGGAATTCTTTGCGGGAGTGGTAGTTTTGAACTGCTGACCTTGCAGTTGGCAGCCCAACGTGTAATCACTACGCCAGCAGGGGAAATGGCTGTAATATAAGGTGAACAGACATCCCGCTTTTGGCGGGACAGTCCCGATTTTTAACAATTTTTCCTGGGTCCCGCGGCATTTTTAAAAAGTCCCGATTTTTGGAAAGAATGCACGACAAGCTAGGGTATACGGTTTTCGGATGCCATGTGGCTATTTTGCCAGGATATGAGTTTTATCAATGGTGCCCTGCTTTTGTCCCGCTTTACCAATGTTAAAATCTGGTCACCTTACTGTAACACCTACCCCCACCCCGACTACTCTCCAATGAGAGTACACTTCGAGTACGTTCAACTTGACCTTGTGATTTTAGGGTTTCCAGCTTCCCATCAGAGACAGATTACCCAATAAGCAGTAAGCATGGACTTACATATGCTTACTTACCAATCCATAGTGAATCATTCTCACCGGTCTGTGAAATGGCTCACTTCTGATCAGTACCATCCCTGTCAGGGACAGTCCGTTTGAAAAGCTGCTTTGATTCCGCAGGAAGGTGCTGTGAGATTGGGAGAGAGAGATCTCTGGGAGGGAGTAATCCCAGGCACTGACAAGCCCAGGGCCTCCCAAATTGTTACTTTGGGAGAAACCAATTCACCAGTTTATGTTCGCAAAGTAGCTTTGAATTCCATGGAGCTTGAATGATGATCATGAGAGCCTGGAGTAGGCATTCCCTGTGTGGTGTGTCACATGGGTTACATGCGGGGACGGTCCCACGTAATGCTGGCACTTGATCCTAACAAACCGTCTTCAACTTCCATTGACTTCTTGCAGTTTCTGAGAACAAAGCCCTGTGCCACCCTTCATCTGTGGACTCCCTGTCCACCAGCGCTGCCACTGAGGACCACGTCTCTATGGGAGGATGGGCAGCGAGGAAGTCCCTCAGAGTCATCGAGCATGTGGAGCAAGGTCAGTCGATCCAAGGGAAAGGCCTCACATATCACCTACTGGCCTGTGGTTCTCGAGGTGGGAGCAGCAGCCAGCATCCCATTGGTGGCGGCAGCAGTGTTGCCTGGGAAGGCGTCAGAAATACAGGTCCTCAGGTTTCCCTTCTGGGCCTGCTGGATCAGAGAGCCTGGGGAGGGGCCAGGGAGCCACCTGGGTTTTAACGAGTTCCCCAGTGATTCGGAAACACCATGAAGGTTAAGAACCACTGCACTCTGCAGAGCTAGCTGAGTTGATAAGGGGGCTGCCTTGACATCTTCTTTTAATGAGAATTTTAGAACGCCTGTCAAAGTGGAGATACCATTTTTTATTTATCTTTGATTACTTTGTTGAGGTCAAAGTCACATCTCATGCAGGTCACCCCCTCGGAGTGTAGTTTTCAGTACACTTGTCCTCCCAGTGTTGGGCGCCCGTCGCCACAATCAGTGCTACCCTTCAGCCGCCACCCTCCTCCTCAGCGCTCCCAAACTCCTCCCAGCCTTGGGCAACCGCTAATAGACTTTCTGTCGCTATAGATAGGCCTGTTATCACTCACAGGATACTTGGTCACCAACTTCTGTTACGTAACATAAGGTTTTCAAGGCTCACCCGTGCCATCGCACAGGTCAAGGACTCCTTGAGGTGAGTGACATTCTGCTGCATGGGACCCCTCGTGGCGTGGCGGTCACTTGTTCGGCAGAGGTCTTAAAGGTCAGCGATTGGAAACTCCCCGCAGCTCCTGGGAGAAAGAGGGGACTTTTATTCCCATGAAGAGCCACAGTCTCAGACACTCACAGGGACAGTTCCACCCGGTCCTACAGGGTCGCTGGGAGCCGGCATCCACTCAGTAGCACTGTGTTTGGAGGGGTTTTATATAGCTATATGACCTTTGCTTTATCCATTCACCATGCTGATGAGGAACACGGTGTTGCTCTCACTTTGGGACGATCATGAGGAATGATTTGATGACTTGTCCGTGTACACATTTTTGCGTGGCTGTCTGTTTTCATTTCTCTTGGAGTGAAACTGCTGAGTCCAATGATCGCGCTATGTTTAACTTTTAAAAGAACTGCCTATTTCCCTAAGAAATGGCACCATCCCCACCCTGGCCAATAATGCACAAAGGATCTGATTTTTCCCCATTCTCATCAATGCTTCTTAGTATCTATCATGACGCACTCCTAATTTTCACTCTTAAAATGGTCTCTCCATTAAAAACCTTGCTTTGGTCAAACACCGAGGGAATCACCTTTCCCTCACATTTTACATCCCACCCATCGGCACACCCCCTGCTCCACAGATGCACCTCTGTCCTTTCCCTTTCCCTAGTCCCCTTGATGGGTGACAGCTACTCTTCCTCGGCAGTCCCCATACACAATAGCGAAGGTTAGCTTTTAAACAGCTGGTTTAGAGCACCATGCCCCTACTGCTGCGAACTGCATGGTCAGTAGTTCGAAACTGCCCACTGCTCCTTGGGAGAAAGACTGGGTCTTTCATCCCCATAAACAGTGACAGTCTCAGAAGCTCCCAGGGGCAGTTCTTCTCTGACCTCTGGGGCTGCCGTGAGTCGGCATAGACACGATGACAGTCTGGTTTGGAGTCTGAACGACTGAAACTTTGTCCCTAATTTCCTGTCGCTCGAAACAGAACCCCGCCCCCTGACTGCACGTGGCTTAAAGCTCCGTGTGATCCAGCATCTCACTTCTACGACCACTTCTCTCCGCCTTGTTCTCTGCCCTGGAACCAGCACCTGGGCCCTTGCTGGTGCAACAAAGAACCACGAATGCTAGAAGCTACTTCAAGTTGGAAATTTGTAGAATGTTTTCAGGTTTTGATTCTGGAGGTGAAAGGTGGTTGTTAGACTACATTGTATATCAGCTGATTTAAAATACATAAGAATCATATGAAAAAATCCAGCTAAATGTGCATTTGGAATGACGTGAAGCACAGTTGTTTTAGACCCCAGAACTGCTGCTTGTGGACAGCGACCTCAAAGAGTCTTCGATAACACGTTGCAGGGGTGGCAACTGAAGGTTTTCCTCATGTGGTTCATGTTTCACTTCGCAGCTACGACTTCCCAGATTTTTCTGTCTTTGATGTTATCTCTCAGACTACCCTTCGTTTGAGGTAGCAGCATATTCCTGACACATGTTGAACATTTATAATGTGTATACAGTTCTTAACTTGCACAATAACCCCAGAAGAGATGTACCTTCAGGAAATCAAGGCAGAGATAACACTGTCTGCCCAAGGTCAACCAGTTTGTAAATGTCAGAGTTAAGATCCAATCCCACTTCTCAGTCTTAACTCTGCCTCTATACTGCTATCTTGCTTTTAGAAAATGAACTGCCATCCTATGGACTCGCAGAACTCCAATTGCAGGATTGTTCTATAATAGACTCTAATGGAAACCAGTCTCCCGGCCATTGAACAGATTCCAACTCACAGAGAGGGACCCTATAGAACAGAGTAGAACTGCCCCCTTTGAGTTTCAGAGACAATAAATCTTCACAAGAGTAGCTAGCCTCACCTTTCTCCTATGGAGTGGTGGCTTCGAACTGCCAACCTTGAGCATCTCAATGTATAACCAACTACGCCCTCAGGGCTCCTCGTCTTGTGGCAGTGATCCCCAATGGAAATTTCTGTGAGTTGAGCATAAGGTAGTTCAGTCAGATCTTTGTAATACTCATGAAAGGGCTATGAAATAAAGTCATTCATTTAGCAATAAGCCCGGGTGTATTTCAATGATGTTGGATAGCTTTACACTAAAAAGCTATTTTCCCTTTACCAACTCCCTACTCAACTCCTTGATCAAGATGGATGACAACTGTTTCCTATTTCCTCCTTTGTGTAAATCTCAACTTGTTTATAGTTTTGCTGCTCCCTTCAGCCTAAAATACCTGGCACTTGAACCTTCGCCAAGGTTGGAAGGAGGCAATGAAGGAGCCCTGCATGAGTGGGGCCGCCCAGGGGGGAGTTCCGCCTTGCTCATTCCAAGCCTTCAAAGGCAAATCACCCCTAACCCCATTGAAGTGAAAATTCTAGGAATCGGTTACCTTCGCAAATCTCTGAGTTTCTTCATACAACAGTCTTTGTATAGCCTTTCTTAGCTAAGGACTCATTAAGTGTAACATAACTTGAGAGATACTTGGAACATTGAGAAATCTAAATTTCTCCACACTGGATATAGTCTGGAGCCCTGGTAGTACAATGGTTACATGTTGGGCTGCGATCCAAATGGTCAGCAGTTCAAAAGCACCAGCAGCAACGAAGGAGCAAGAGTGATCTTTCTACTCCCATAAGCAGTTACAGTCTCAGAAACCCACAGACACTATGAGTCAGCACAGACCTGATGACAGTGAGTTTGTTTCTTTGTTTCGGATATAGTCAGATTACAAAGATTAAAAAAAAAAAAAGAAATATAACTCAAACTTAAACCACCGTCATGCCACGATTTACAAAGAAAACAGTTTAGGGGATTAAAGTTGACCTGGCCATTTAAGTGGCTAATCCGAATCACAGACTAACACCAGCTGACGTCTTATTGTAAACTCTATGAAGCACCTTACAAATGCGGGAGAGTACAGCGAGGTCACAGGGACGCAATGAGGTTACAGAATCCATGTTGAACCTGGAAGGAACTTCACGTCCACTTTAGTCCCTAACTTCACTGCTAAGGAAATGAAACTGCCAGAATAAAGGATCTTGACTCAAGGCGCACAGCTACTCAACAGGCCTGGGATTCAACCTCCAAGCTGAGTAGCTTTCCTGTTCGTCTGCCTTCACAACAAGAAACAAAATTGGCCTCCTGATTTTAGGAAGTGGATGGAGGGAAATGGCAGATATCATTGGTATTGATGCGTGGGTAGCTTTTGGGGTGGTTTGGGGCTTCTGGTAACCTAACAAGGACATGCTTCCTTTCTCTCTGCTTCACCCTTTGTGCCAGTTTTCCAGAGCTGCCCAAATGACCACCAAATGGATGATTGTAAACAGTTTGGGAAATTAGATGCTGTCAGGACCACGGCCTCGCTGAAGGCTGTCAGGAGAACCCTTCTCTTCCTCTCTCCAGCTGCTGGTCAATCCCAGCTGTGCTTGGCAGAGCCTCAGACAGTAGCTGCCGCACTCCAATCTCTGCCTCGGCCCTTACATGGCCTTCTTTCTTCTCTGGGTGTATTGCAGGGTCCGCATCGGTGGATCTCAGACCCACCCTAATTCCTGAATGAGTTCATCTTGAGATCTTTCATTACATCTGTAAAGACCCTATTTCCAAAAACATCCTGTGACATGTGTACATAGGAGTTTGGGGAGGACACTGCTCAGCCCACTCTATCATTGCCTCCAAGAGATTAAAAAAACCTTTTTAAGATTAAAGCTCTTAAACTTTAAACAAGGCCAACAAAAATCAAGGCAGTTTCAGTCTGCCAATAGAGACTCGGCCAACCTGTTAGCTGGCTGGTGATGGCCGACAACTTCCAGGCCCTCATTTTTCCTCAAGTGTGAGGTTAGCCTTTAATCAGCCATCTTCTCTGCATTTTGTTTGTTTGTTTGTTTAGTGCTGGCCATTGAGCTCCTTGCAGCCTGTCAGGGCATCGAGTTTCTACGTCCCCTGAAAACAACCACTCCACTAGAGAAGGTCTACGACCTGGTGCGCTCTGTTGTGAGGTACAAGCAAGCCTGTTCCTGGAACGGTACGGTTCAGAACTGTGAACCTGGCCATCGTTAATCTCTGGCTGGTGCGCTTCCTCCCCAGGCCCTGGATGAAAGATCGCTTCATGGCCCCAGACATCGAGGCGGCTCACCGGCTGCTGTTGGAGGAGAAGGCAAGCTGACTACTTGTTGATGTTGTTGATTTGGGTCGTAATGGGAAGCAGAAGGGGAGAGTGAGGGGGGAACCGGAGTCATGTCCTTTGGTTTCTTGCTATTTCTTGTAGGAGCCCCGGTGGTATCCATGGGTTCAGCATTGAACCACTAACCACAGGATCAGCAGTTTGAGGCCCCAAGCTGCCCTTTGAGAGAAAGATGTGGCAGTGTTCTCCCGTAAAGATGTGCAGCCTCAGAGGCTAGCCTCAGTTTAGCCTACCCTAAGTATTGGGTCCTACGAACAGTGGGTTTGGTTTGGGGTCTGAGATTCTTGTAAATGAACAACAAGGTACTTAGGCAACTTGCCAAGTCACTAAAAATCCAAGTTGCACCCAAACATTGAGTATCCAAGGATTGGAAGTAGACATGGATTTGGGGGATACATATTCTTGGAGAGAAAATGAATGAATAGTCCATCTAGCCCCCTCCCTGAGAATGCCCTCTTTCATCCAAAAGTCTGTTCTCTTTCTAGCGCTGTTATCATAGTGCCTCCACCAGGGCTGGGAGCCGCATCCACCTGGAGGGACGTACATTCCCTGGTTTCTTTCTACTGGGGAGGCTCAGGAGTCTGCTCGAGCCAGCTTCATGCTCAGCTGCGTCCCGGCCTCACACGGGGGGAGATACAGGCTCTCTTAACTGCTTTTTCCCTCTGGCTGTGTCGGCCATGGACTTGGCTGGTGGGCACAGGTGCCTCGCAGGCTGCTCTGCTGCTGGGTGGCACAAGCAGTTAAGCACTGAGTTACTGAACCAACAGGTTGGCAGTTTGACTCTACCCAGATGTGCCTGCGCAGAAAGGCCTGCTAATCTACTTCTGAAAACTCAGACATTCAAAGACCCAGGATGCAGAACTGATGCACAGAGAAACCCAAGAAGCTGCCTTTGCATCATCAGACAAGGGTTAGCCAGAAGGAAGCATCACGTCCTACCCTTTCAGGAACTTTTCTTAACTGTTTACCCCAGTCTTCTGAGGTGCAGTTCTTTTGTTCTTTCCCCCCTTTGTGTGGGTGCTTTGAGAGAGTAGGCAGCTGAAAACCGTCCATGTAACTTTAGCGGGGGAAAAAAAAAGTGGACTTTGTATGTTAAACGCTGTTGAGGCAACCAAAGACTACTTGGCACCATTTGTGTGTGCCGTGACTTAAAAACAAGCAAACAGCTGCTGTACGTGACCCTGTTAGTCGGGGCAGGTTTTGACTTCAGGTGAAATGGATGTGGAATGGCACGGGAAAGCAGGGTCTCCCTCCAGCATTGCAGCTTTGTCCTTTCGTTGCCCCTCAGGTTTGGGAAGTCGCATCACCGTACATCGAGAAATACAGGTTGGAACATATTCCAGAATCAAGACCCATTTCACCTACGGCCTTTTCACTGGAATTTCTACACAAGAAATCCACCAAGCTTCCAGAGTCTGATGACCTTTGACAGGTGTCGTCATGAATAAGAAGACCAGACAACATTTCTGGCAACACTAGATTCGGGGAGAGAACAGAGAACTTTCCTCTGTAGATCAATGTATTCTATGATTCAGTTCGCTTAACGCCTACCTGGGGAACACAGCCATGGTTGCTTTGGGAACCACTCTCATGGTTCAAGACTTTCCGGGTATTTTTTTTTCCCCCGATTACAGGAGCTTCTTTCTTTCTTAATAATATGGACAGGTTTCTGGCTCATAAAGGTGAGAAGACCTGAGTATTCTACTCTGAACAGTAGATGGATGCAGATCTACACACCCATGGGCATCACTTTTTTCTCCGAACATGAGACTTAGGAATCGTACTTGTATGTACTTTGACAAGCTCTCCACTAGAGAACTTTCTTTTGCTAATGGTACAGTGACCTCCTATGAGGGGGATTACAAAAAGTATGTGAGAAAATAAAAGTAAAAGATAATAGAAAATAAAAGTAAAAGATAATAATAGAAAAGATAATAGAAAAAAAAGTAAAAGATAATAATGTTGACGCCCTCTCCCCTGAGACAAATGCCCTAAATGCACTGTTCACAAATGACCATTTTTAAGCCATTGCTTCCCTGTGAGTTGTTCTTTCTTCTGTTTATTAAGTCATAGTACCAAAAAGTCCAGGGGTTTTAAGCAATTAGACCACAACTCAGCTCAGCTCAACTCAGCGCACTGCCGTCGAGTGACTGTCAACTCTGGTTAAAGCCATCCAGAGGTGTCATGTGGAAAGGAGTTAGAAGTCAATATAAAGATTGTTATTTGCATGACCTCTGAACTGTGTAGTTCATATTTGTCAAATACCATCCTTCATATCAGAAAAAAAGGACTCAGAAAACTCACGGCCCTCTTAGTTGGTTCCAATTCAAAGCATGTGTTAGCACTTAATAACGCGAAGTAAGACCACCTTCATTTGACAGCTGAGAAATTGGATGCTCAAACGTTAAGCACCCTCTCCACCTGTAACAGTCATCATTAAGATGAAGCCTGAATGCGAATGGTCAGGGGAGACCCTAGGATGGGCTGCTCGATTGTTTTCTTTCCCCCACGAAGAGCTCAGACCTATGGGAAGGCTTAAGAGTAGCCGTGTAGGTGACGGATGGGTCAGAGGCTTCTAGGCTTCCCAAGGCTTAGATCATGCCAGCACCGAAGGAAGTTGAACCCATAGCTCTGCCAGCTGTAACCAATCAAAATGGGATAGGCCCACTGGCCAGCGTGTGTCCCTAAACTGGGTCCAACAATAGGTTTTACAGTCGCATTTCCACTCATTAGACTGGGAAGGTGAAACTTACCTGCAGGAATTCAGTCCACAGAAAAAGTGCCGAGGGGCCTGTCGGCCTGGGAGTTGTTCTTAGCCATCCTCTGCTGACCAGTGAAAGGAACTCTTTTCATTGGTACCCTAATCTGCCACCGATCCAGCAGACACTCGCAGTCCAGTGGCTGCTCCTCACACCTGCTTGGAGGGTGCTGGGCTCCACCAGCCACTTTGGTCCTCTGTGGCCCCATGACATGCCCGCCATCCCTGAATGTGCCATATGGCTCTGTCAGAGACTGGCATTGCCTTCAAGAAATCTCAAGGCCGAAATGGAATAAACTAAGTCTCAATTGTCTTATGCTGCCTCTTTATTCTTACATTTGCTTAGCATGAAGTTTCAGTCCTCTTTAGGGAGCAGGCTACTCTAGCTTCAGTAATTACATTTCTGGAAGATTCCATCAATAAGCACAAGTTAAAGCTTGAGACAGGCTCTCTGGAAACCAAGCAGGTCAGTATGTTTTGTTTGTCTCTCCCACTGACCAGCAGCAAAACAGTTGCAAACAATTCAGTTCCGCGCAGGGACAAGCCTCATTGTGCTTCTTAGGGTGCATCAGTCACTCTTCAAGTTTCAGGGGTGCCCATGGGACAGCCTCATAGGGT